CAGACAGAGTTCAAGAGAGGGAGAGAGTGAGAGAGGCAAGTGTCGTGTGCGTGGGTGGGTGGATGGAAAGGAGACCAGGGGTTGTCGTAGTTGTTTGGGGGAGGAGCGATATACTGCTGTAAACCCTTTTGCCATCATTACTACCATCCATGAATGAAACGTAAAAACTCGGACTCTGCCTGGTGCCCGTGAGGTTTGTCTGTGAGCAGCCGCAGATGGGATAGCTTTCCGATGGGACGGGCCGGCCGAGCGGACGTCTGGACATGCATCATCCGAGGGTTGGTCATCGGGGCTCAGGAGTGGTTTGAACGCGGGATGAATTGACCAAGGAGGGGGTTCTGGTGGTTGATAGTTGAATGGGATCCTGGGGTCAGGACAGTTGTAGTGGCTGACGCGTGGGATTTGGGCAGACGGGTCATTCAGCTAGGCTCACACACTACTTTGATCAGATGTTGTGTGCTGAAGTTGTGTTCCTGAGAAATTACTACAGCCCGCCTAAGCTATCGCGCAAGACAACCTCAACTCTATCGCTGGCAACAAAGCTATTGCTAGTACAAGATCGCCCTTTTTTTACACCTCGGACGCCCTTGTAGTAGACGCCATCCTGTTATCGCTGTCCGTGAGTCTGAGCGCAATTCAGCGACTCCCTTTCCCCCTCGTAACGCTATTCACTCAATGACTAAAACACTGGTACAGTCGCGGTGTCTCACTTTTACTCTCTCACTCTCTCTTTAACCACTGTTTTTGCTCGGGACCTCTCGTCTTCAGAGTCGCTCAACTTCCGGGCAGTATTTCATTGCTGAGAAACTCCATTCAAAGCTTGGCCTTCAAGAGCTGTTGAGCCGTGGCCTCCTCGTTCAGGTTGACCTCACCCGTCTTCTCACCGTGGCCGAAGAAGATGACCTGGACGGTCAAGTCGTCACTACGTAGGGTGTTAGTCCTGAATCCAGCGAAGCAGATGCAAAAACCCGAGATATTGGACTTACCGATAGCGTCTAGAAAAGGGGGAGGGCAGTGTCAACAAGGCACACACTTGCTCCTCGTTCTTTCCACCAAGAGCGTTGCGCACGAGGTGGGTGGCTACGTTCTTGTCCTTGACGACGAACCGCTCAGGGGCGTCGGGGGAGATGCCCCATTGCTGGAGACGGATAGGCGTCTTCTGCCCGTCAACTCCCTTGTCGTTGGCTTGCTCAACAGGCAGACCAGACTGCTTGGATCCGAAAATCTTGGACCAGGCCGAGTCGAACTGCGAGCCGGAGCCGCTGGCCTGGGTCTCAATCCACTTGCCGACGAGACCGACGACCTCCTCGTTGGTCAGCATCTCCCACAGGCCGTCAGTGGCCATGACGACGAAGTCCCCGTTTTCGGGCTCGATCTTGGTCGTTGTGACGACAGGCTCGGCGGTGACATAAGGAGGCGTCTTGAGGAGGGGCGAAGCAGAGCGGGCGAAGAAAGACTCTCTGAGGCGGTTGGTGATGTCCCGACTCCACTTGTAGCTGGCGTCGCCGAAAGCGCGCGTGGGCTCCAGACCACCGAGTACGCGGCCATTATGCACGACACGGTCCTCGCCCGGGTGGAGCTTGCGCATGCGCGTGGCCTCGTCGGGGTTGCTGCCGGTCTGGTCCACGGAGAGAGCGGTAGCGGTCCACTTGCCGTTGGATGATCGGCGGCCGAGTACAGCGCGAGAATCACCGGTGCAGGCGACGCGCAGAAGCTTCGATCGGCTATCGTAGAAGGACAGGAGCGCACAAGAGCCCGATAGGGCAGGCGCGAGGAGTTCAGCAGCCATGGTCTTGGATCCAGCCTTGAAAACCCTCTCGACGCTCTGGTTGACGATCTCATCGTCCAGACGGGTGAAGCCGGACTTGATGGCCGCGTCGATAGCCTCGGCGGGCGGGGACAGGTCTTTGGACGCCTGGTATGTAGTGTTGAGCTCCTTGGCCACGGAGAGAATCAACTCCTGGCGCAACTTCGCAGATGTGGTCCAGCCGCTATCGCTTGGTTAGCAACTGCGAATGCTCCATTGAGGGCACGCAAACTTACGCATGACCGTCAAAAACGCCCCAGAACATCCAATCGTTGCTGTTTCCAACTGCGCCAGCCGCCTTGTTGGGGACCTCGACGATCTTTTCGGCGTGGTCGTCCTCGATGGGATCATTGCTAGGTAGCTGAACCAAGTCATATCGGACGACGCCCTGTCCTCTGTTGACCATGAAGGACTGTTCCGTCTTGCGCAGCTTCTGGGTGGCCTGCTCCGGGGTCAACATCTCGATAATCTTTCGTCCGTCGTCGCTCGATGTCTTCGATATCGGCCCCTCTCCGACAAAGGTCCCGGTGTGTAATTGATCGGCACCGACGACTAGAACGGTGCGGGTAGGGGCAGCGTCGCCGGCGGGGCCGGTCGCGCCAGACGTGAAGCTTCTTGTCAAGTGTGACTTGTTAATAGCCGTCCCGTTGTACGAGTACCATGCGCCGTAGCCGACGAGGCCAGACACGAGGGCGACAGAGAATCGGCGGAAATACATGGAGGAGTTCAGCTGGTCAGCATGCTCGGAAGAAGTTCGTTGAGGGGAGGATCGCAGGACGGGTCGGGTTGAAAAGGAAGACGATGGAGGATAGCGTTCGAAGAGGCCTCGCCGGCTGTTGCGTGCGAAGCTACGGGCCGTACATCGGTAGGTTGTCCGCAAAGCCCTTGCTGCTGCGCGATGCATTTGGGGCGAGCCGGGAGGAGCGAATTGCAGCGTTTGGACTGGAGGGCGGCCCGAGTCCAATAGAGGTCAGGAAGCAGTCGTGAGATGCGTTTGAGGCGATGCTGTCAGGGTTGAGTGGGAGTGTGTGCCAAGACGTCGGACGTGCCTCAGGCTAAGGTGGTGGTAGGTCAGTGTAGTGTGTTCTGGGGGGGAACCACAGCGACGGGCGGGCGTTTGTAGTGTCGGTTTGGCCCAGTATCGGAATGGTGTACACAGGACGATAGGGAGCGGCAAGACCAAACGACAGGGAGTACAGAGATGGCAAGCACGGGCAGGGCGAACACCAACCACGGCAAGAGGTAGATGGAACAACTAGGACGACAATGGCAGGGACAGACGTTGTGTCGTTAGCTTCTGGTGAGTGCGATGATGCTAAGTTTAGACTCGTCAGAGCAGCAAGCTGGTTCAAGACGTCGCTCTGCCGGCGGGCGGTGAGCAATACGACACCAACACCAGACTGGACAAGTCAGGTTCTTTGTGTCGTAGGATGTTTCAGCGATTTAGCTCACTGTGAGAGCTCTTGATGTGAAGGGTAAAAGTAAGGTAGGTAGAGGTTCCGATCATCCACTGGGCCCGAGCTGGAAGCTTGCCGGTAGCTTCATTGGTTCATTCGTCCAAATGCACGTACTTACAAGGCCCCGCCATGCGAACCCCAGATCAGATCCTCCACACCTGGCGCATCCTGCCTCCTGGTCCATGCTGTGTCGTGCGATGGGTGTCATGAGTTTGGCAGCTTGTCACGTAAGTAACGTATGCATAATTTGACCCATTCGCAAATTGGCACATTGGTCTGCTGGAACACCGCTGTCCTACTGCCTAGCTAAGCTCAAGCCAACAAGGCAATATCGCTCGTCGCCTAAGTTCACGAGCTTTTGTGCCCGTTTGGAGCGCATGTAGTTTGCTTCGCATCTGGTCGCCAAGTGTCTCGCCATGGCCTGGGCAGCCTTGGAGACGCGCTTAGGTATCAGGTTACAAGCATTTGCAAAAGTTACACGGTGGTTAGAAAAAGTTGAAATTGAGCTTTTTCCATCTTTCCCTGCTCTGAATTAAAGGGTATCTGCTCTTGGTCGTATGCTTCATCATTTGCCCATGTAGCCGTTTATCTTGTGCGCAAAGACATCACCGTTGGTCTATCAACCGTGTCTGTCGAATTGCCAGCGTCTTCGTTGGTCCAGGTGTATCGTTTCGTCATCCAACTTCCTTCTATTCCTGGTTGCCAGCTTGGTCGCCCCAGTCAATCTCTTGTTGCAGCACTATGCTGTACACGCTAGCCTTCAGAAGGGTGAAGACCAAGCTCGTCTTGCGCTCTAGTTCGCGTAGGCCGTCCAGGATTTCGGTGCTTGGGGAGCTGCTCAGATCTTCTAGAGTAGATGCCAGCTGCGTGAGCCACCAAGTCAGCATACATGGCTCATCAGAAAGGCGAGAGGGTTCCTAAGGACAAACCTTTTTCATGTTGTCCGCCAGTTTCTCGTACTCTTCAAGAACCTCCGCCTCGAGAGGCGTCAGCTCAGGCTGCTGTTGGTACATCGTTGATTCCCTTGGTTGTTCCATGGTCACGGATGCAGAATGCGATTCCAGTGGCCTCGTGGGGTGTTGAGGTAGAGAGCGTTGTCGGCGGTCGATGTTTCGGTGAGTCGCGCTGGACGCGTCTAACCCCGCCGGAAGACGACCGCAAGATAAAGCACCCCCACTTCGGCGAAGGTCTCGGTGAGAAACCAATAGGATGCAAGCGACTCAGGCACCATATCTGATGACCAATCTAGCGACTCTAGTCGGTCAGTCTTTCTCCTTGTTTTCTCAACGTTCGCACCTCCTCATTCCAAGACAAGACGAGCGGTAAAGAGCACATCTCCCACGCGTCGCAAGCACCGAATGCGCGTGGTACGTCTTGACGTGGCAAGGACTGTTGATCCCCTTGGATAGCTTCGAAGCTAAGGCTCGCCGAATGTCGAGCCTGTCATCTTACGAAGAAGCCACCATGGAGCTGCCATGGCTGTCGCCTGCACCAAGTGGCTAAGGCTAGGTTAAGGGGGAGCTAGTGCCCTCCGGTGAAGCTGGAGAGAAAACATCAATTCGATATTTCGAGACGGTCTTAGCGCAGGTCACTTGACGGTCGATTGGGCAAGTGTGCCAGCCATCGCATTCTTCTTAATAACTGCAATTTCTTCCCCGGTCAAAGGCTGTCGCAGGTCGCTGGTTTCAAGTCTTCGAATCTATTGCAGGCTAGAATTGTTCGAAAGAATCGCAACGATGTCTAGCACCGAGAAGGTCGATCAGCAATCGCCGCCACCTACAGCGAGCGACGCCGTCGAACACACCAAGCGCTCCAACAAGCCGGCTTTACTCGTTCGCAGATCATCTCTCGGCAGCAAGCTGCCTGAGACAGTCTCCTCTGCGTATGTTCTCGACTGGGAGGGTGAAAGATGTAGGCAGCGACTCCTGAGCCATGCAGAGGATCTCGTGAGAGAGTCTGTAGGGCGCAGGAAGCTCACCATCATCCAAGGGCTTCCGCTGGACTTGGTCCAGGTCTTGAGGGACTCACTAGGTGTCTACCCCGAATTTCTGGAGGCACACGCTGGGAGGCGGCGATATCGGCCGCTGAGGCAGGACAATGGCGACAGTTTTATATCCTTTGAGTATCCTGAGCTTGTAAGGGTGCATCGGACTGCGATCGGGCCAGATCTGGGGTACAAGCCGTCGGCCAGACAGTCGGACTTGGTGGACGTGATGGATGAAGCACCCTTCCATTCGCTGTCAGGAGATGGCCTGTCTGTCATCTTCTCACATGCATCCTTGTGGATGAGCAGCAAAGCTGACGGTAAGTGTTGCAGAAATTATGAGCTGTGGCATTCAACTGAGCATTTAATAGTACTGTTTTTGGATCGACCGGTCTGGCTTGATCCATCTTCGCAGCTCGGAAAAGCTCGGCGACCTCTATCTGTGACGAGGTCGTGGCAGAGCAAAATCGATGAATCGCAGCTGGATGGTACTTCTGTGTGGAACGTCTTGATTGCCGAAGGAGACGAAATCCCGGGTCTCGAGGACAGCCTGCTGAGAACGTTTCGGTACACAAAGGTGGCCAGGGAAGAGCTTCCCAATCTCCTGTTTGAGTCGGTATACGGCAAATGGCTTGACTTCTTCGAAACGCTTCCTCAGTCGGATTCACAAGATGCGTCGTTGTTCTGGCAGGCTACCGAGTCCTTGGAACAAAATCTCGACGAATCTCAAGACCCTAGACGGCACCCCATCATGGGTGAGAAGCACCATTCGAGTTGGCGACACCTCCTGGACCGACTGCAGCGTCGCATCGCTATATCACGTCTGGCAACAATAGCACCGCCCCAGACTTCGTGGCTGCCTTCGACCCGAGGACTAACGACAGCGCAACCACGGACACGAGATGCAGGCTTACCGGAAAAAAGTGTGCGAGCCCTTCCGAGCTTGCAAGGCCACTACTGGGCGGACGACAAAGAGGCGAACCAGCGCGCTCTGGACCGTGTCACTTATCTTGGCGGCATCCTGCTCCCCTTTACCGTGGTGTCGGCGATTCTCTCCATGAATGACGAGTACTCGCCAACTGCGCCTCGGTTCTGGGTGTTTTGGGTTGCCTCGGCTGGTGCGGCCATCTTATGTCTGCTCATCATCTACTTGGATCAATTACGATGTCTCGAGGTTTACTTCGAGGTTGCGTCTGACAGTATTGAGTCGGTCCTATCGTCTGTTGACGGCAAAACTCGTGTCTACAGCAGCGGTGGGATGGGCATGCCCCAGTCTAGGTGGAGACGACCGTCGAGGCTGAACACGGAACTGTTTGTCGACATGCCGCAGCCCGGCGTGGGTGACATTGAGGTAATGGCCGACTCGGCAGTCAATCCGACCATGATGGTGCAGCAATGTAGGGACGGCACAACAACTCCCAAGGCGTGGCAGCGGGGAACGCTGGGATGGGGTGGTGCGGTGAAGAAGGTTGTTGGCTACTATCGCTGGAGGGGCGGCATGCCGGTACAGCTCAGGTCTAACGGGCTGGAAAGGTTTCGAATGAACGCGATCTAGCGGTGTTGCGCTGGTGGTGTTCTTGTGCAAGTTCTCGGCGGTACGGAATTGTCTGGAGGGGTTTTTACTTTTCGTGTATTGGAGGCGTTGACTGTTGCATTAAGCGTGCGTCGCAATTAAGATCCAGAAGAAAAAGAAAAAGCGTCTACCTCACACCAGGGACTCGGCCACGGTGCAAGCAAGACGAGTGTAAGGATAGGAGCTTCGGTCTGCGTGGGGCCGGCCGGACGACCATCTCCGATGCGATGCGACTCCATTTTCGGGGAACACTAGGGGGAACCTAACTCTTACCTTATGTAATGTGGAATTAATGCAACCACTCCCCAACGTCCTGGTTGTTGGTTCCGATGGACTTATTTCCTAGACCTCCTGAGTGCCAACGCTGAAAGAGGAACATGCAGTTTGCCTTGGGTATCCAATCACTTTGCACAATGGAGCCTTGGCGGTTGTTGGTACCGCTGTTAGAGAGGTCGGCCTCCCGCGGTGCGGTTCGGCCCAGGCTGCAGCGCCTGCCTGCTCAGTTGCCTGCGACCGGGAATCTGGTCATGGATGGTGACAATACCTTAGAGACTGGTCTGTCACTCCCAAGCGAGACAAACCTGACTACTTCACCTCTGTAATTCCCTTACCTGGAGGTATGGTGCGGTACTGTGTCTTTCCTAAATACCTTACCCACGCTGCACCTCCTTGTACGCCTGCCCACACCACAACTCCTTGCGACACCTTCCTTTCCGCTCCAGTAAGCTCACTTTTTGTTTCCAGGAACTTGAAAAAAGAGAGTTTCGAGAACCAACGGTTCAAATAACAGCCTCTCTGGATAGCCCAAAAGGGTGCCCGGAAAAGGGTGGAGAGCCAGCCCGTTATTGCCTTCATTGCCTGAGCGCGCCAACCTGCTCCTTCTCCCCTTTTGGTCTCCTTCACCTCTGCGTTTTTTCGTGAGTCAAACTCTGAGGATGTCAATCGATTCAACTGCTAATTTCTTCCACCAGTTTGTTTCAGGCAAACCTTTCTTTGCCTCTGCAACTAAGTGGCTTTCGACAAGGCTTTTGTCGATGGCTCTTTCTCAGAAACAATAGAGGATTGATTGTACGCCCTCCCAAAGAAGCACATACAGCTGGACTCTACCCATTACGCCTGCTTCACATTACGGTCAGTGTCTATTTTCAACTTCCGCCTTCTTGCCTGCTTTCTCTCGTCATCGTATCGTCGTCTTTTTCGTCGTTGTCTCTTGTCGTCGCCGTCTCTTGTCGTCATCGTCTCTCGTCGTCTTCACCCTTCTTCTTCCCTTCCCTTCCCTTTCCTTCCTTCCCTTTCCGTTTCTAGCTGGCCCTTTTCGTCCCCAACATCCCTCGTCCCTGTCCTTCTCCTGGTCTTTCCTCAACCAACCTCTTCCCCTTAAGAGCCGGCACCTTTGATCCCTCTGCTTCACAATCTCGCCCTCACAAACGGTTTCTGGCCATCCCATTGGCACAAAGTACTAAAATCCGGCTTCCAGACCCATTCAGCAACGGCATTTCACTGCTCCCGGGTTCATCGTTGCCATGACCCGCAGGAAATTTAACAGCGATTTGGCGCATGCCTGTCAGCAGACTGTTGACCAGATCTCTCAGGTCGCAAAGGGCGATGACGATGGCCAGGTTGTGCTCACCTTCTCACACGGCGCGATCTCCTCACCTCTGGTCATGCGCCTCATCACCTTGAATATCGACGACTATCCACAAAATTCAGGGTTCTTGGCCTATACAGATGATGATTCCACTCCTCGGTCTATATCTGCTCTTCTCGACGAGCTTCCCAACGCTACACAAAGCAAGACGGTGCTTGAGACCCTTACCTACTTATCAAGGAAGTTGAGCACTGCCCTAGCTGCCGACGGAAATGGCTCTGATGTGGAGATGACGGACGAGAACGACGAGAACGACGACGACGACGACGAAGAAACCGAAGGGGAGGACGAATACGACTATGACGACGACATCATGGACTTTGGCTTGGGAAATGCCGACCCAGCTTACATTCAACAATCCGACGTTGCCCAGGGAACTTGCGAAATCACCAGACGTTTCATCGACGATCTTCGCAAAGCCAAAAGCGCAGGCTTCCAGATTGCATTCCTAGGGGACCTTTCCGCTGACCAGCAATCTGGCTGCACCTTCGCACTCTCGCTCCCCGTGTCGCATCTTGGTCTTCCTGACGACACACTTGAGGCCTGGGAAGTTGAGCGCGACAGCTACATCGTCTTGCTCTGCAAATACCACTCAGCCTACCCTTCCGTGGAGAACTTCATGAAGCTTTCGCCGGGCCACGTTTCCTCGATGGAGTTCAGTTTTGGAAAGTGTGCGTCGTACAAACCCACGTTGGCTTCGGCCATTACCGCATTTAACCCCAAGTTTAACCACGTCAACGTCGACGATGAGAACAAGATTGCCGAGGGCACACCGTTTGTCCAGATCCCCATCACCAACTCGATCAATACCTTCATGAACAAAGAGCTGTCGTTGCTCCTGAAGTATCGCTTGGAATACGCCGTACCGTGGGACAGAGCCAAAGAACTATTGGACGAGCAGGCCAAGGCAGGGCACATGCGTGCGGATACGAGTATTTCAGCCCGTGGCACGGAATACATGCCGGATGACGAGCAGCAGGTGTCATCAGCTGCCCGCCCTTCTCTCAACAAGGACTACGTGCGGGGTGAGCGAGATCAACTCAGCATGCCATTGATAGCCATGCAGTTCGCTCTGCGGTACTTTGTGAAGAGTACCCAGTATTGTCTTGTGTGTCACCGAAAGACCGGTGCTGGATTGACGGCAATCAAGCCGTACGTATGCGACGAGCCACTCTGTCTCTTCCAGTATATGGCTCTGGGCCTCGGTCCTAGCATCGAACACGATATCATCTCTCGACCTTCTGTCGTCGATCTGTTGGTGTCTTTCTGCGCTTATGGTTTGCACGCCAATCGAATTCGCGAATTTCCCAAGGGCTTAGGTATCTATGTGCCGCTCTTCGGATACGGTTCGATGCCGATAGCACCAGTCGGATACAATCAGTGGACGACTAACACAGGAGGTGTCAACGAGTTCAACGCCCAAGACGTCCCTGCATTCGTTATCAACCCCCCTCTGAAAGTGCAGGCCACGATCTCGGGAAAGAAATTCTTCCTGGATACCAGCCAACAAGTGAACTTCAAGCCAGGAGATCTCATTGTCTTGGAAAAGGCAGTTTGCGTCACTGGCAGAGTTGAGAAGCCGGACTTGCACCATTGTCGTGTGACAAGCGTCGGCGTCATTCGCAACGCGAACGACAACATTGTCGGCAGAGTGGTCGAGTTCGATTGCCTGTTCTCCACTCTGAGACACCTGCATCAGAGTAACCCCTACGGCATATATGAATCGAATGGGCAAACAACTCCTGCTGCGGAGGTAGCGGACAGCGCTCCCGCTGAAGACGAGGAAAGCGAGGCAGCATTGTACTTCTACGAATACGACCTCGACGACCTGCCCGTGACTCACCAACGGGATGCTCTGCTAAGTCTGATCCAGACCATCCCGCCTATTCGATTGTTGCGAGAACACCTTCTTAGCCACAAGAACATCTCTCTCAAGAAGTACGAAAATATGACCAAGTCTGCTTTGGCTTTGCTTCGATGGATCGTGGCGTCCAACCGCTCCTTCATCGTCCAGCTGGACCAGAGCGACGAGTCTGCCACCAACGACATGGCGTATGCATCGAATAGAGAGCATGAGAAGATTTCTGGCCTTGACAGCAATTGGTTGCAGTTCCGTTTCGCACAGGGATCTCCTGAGAAGGAACAACGATTCAACCAAGCGTTGGAACAGCAGAGCACCGCCCGGTATCCCACCATGTTCGCATGGCACGGAAGCCCGCTTGGAAACTGGCACAGCATCATCAGAGCCGGCCTTGACTTCAAGGACACACTGCATGGCCGTGCGTATGGCCACGGTGTGTACTTCAGCAATGCTCTTAATGTAAGCATGGGCTATGCGGGATCAGCACACATGGCAGGTCTCTGGGTAGGATCAGAGCTTGAGATGTCCGGGGCGCTTAGCCTCTGCGAAATCATCAACCGACCAGCCGAATTTCGATCCAGCCAGCCGTATTACGTGGTTGACAAGGTCGACTGGATCCAGTGTCGATATCTGGTTATCCAGAGGAAGAGTTCCTTCAGGTATGCAGAGCCTGAAGCTGATGGAGCACCATCGGCGACCAAGACAGAGACGGAATACATCACCCAAGATCCGCAGCGCACAGTCGCCGGAATCAGCGCAAAGGTTCGCATTCCCGTCGCAGCACTCCCAAAGTGGCGTCAAAAAGCGAGACCTGAAGGATCGTCTCCTTCAAATCCGCTCGTTGTGGACGACGATGCTCATGACAACACCCCTGACACAACCGATGATTTCGACCTATTGTTAAGCATGAAAGGTGACACCGATGCTACTCAGCACACCGAGGACGATGGTGAGGATATCATGATTCTCGAATCCGATCCCAGCAAGCTCAGCTTCAGACCGGGCACCCTGGATGTGGCTTCGCTCCCCATACTCCCACCTCCTACTTGGGCCACCGACAATGGGCTCAAGCTTCTCGGCAAGGAGCTCAGCAAGTTGCAAAAGCTACAAGCGAAAACTCCATTGCACGAACTTGGTTGGTATATCGACTTTGAAAGCATGAACAACATGTTTCAGTGGATTGTCGAGCTTCACAGCTTTGAACTTTCTCTTCCGCTTGCCCAGGACATGCAGAAACAAAAAGTTTCTAGCATCGTTCTCGAGGTTCGCTTCGGCCGACAATTCCCCCTTTCGCCACCTTTCGTCCGCGTCATCCGCCCCAAGTTTCTACCATTTTCCCAGAGGGGTGGTGGACATGTCACGGCTGGCGGCGCCTTGTGTATGGAGCTTCTGACCAACAGCGGCTGGAGTCCAGTCAGCAGTATCGAGAGTGTCTTGTTGCAAGTCCGCATGGCAATGTGCAGCCTCGATCCTTTCCCCGCCCGTCTCCTAGGCTCCTCCACCGGAGACTACGGGATTTGGGAGGCCATTGACGCATACAAGCGTTCCGCGAGCGCCCACGGCTGGCAAGTGCCCCCTGATTTGGATGTCACAGCCAATGGTGTTTGAGAGAGACGGAGACGGAGGAAGACGAAGGGAGACGAAGGGAGACGGCGGAGATGAAGACAATGGAGACGAAGACGAGGAAAGTGGAGGCGCCAAAAGGTATGGCAGCTTTGATCTTTGTCTGGGTCCGGGTTTTGACCGCGGCGTTTAGGCGGGGGGATTTTGGTATCATGGACTACATCTGGGGAACGGAGTAAGGTATCAAGGACCCATCAACCCTTCAAGTCATGGGCAGCATAGCATAGAACAGTCACCTCAACATGAAAAATGTCAGTAAAAACGGGCCTCTGGGAGATCTCTAGCGTTGCGCTTGACATGTTACAGTGGTATACAAATGGTATCCAGGTGGATTAATATACATTTCCGCCGTAGTACACCTTTCTTGCGTCAACCAGCTTCTTTCCGCGACCGATGGCGATTTGCTCGGGGTCGGGCTGGTTAAGGAGGCACTCGTAGACGACCTTGACAGTGTTGTAGGGGTTCTTGGAGCGCATGATCTTGGCGGCCAAGTCATGGATACCAGCAAGGCGAGCCATCTCGAAGATACGGTGAGAAACACGAAGTCCGAAGCCTTGGTGTTGTTTGTCAGTGCCGTGTTACCTAAGAACATCTGTTGTAGACAGCGGGAGAACATACCTGGAGGACGAGACTGAATCTTCACGACAGTACCCGAGATCTTCTTCTGGACCTCGCCGTAAATGGTGCGGTCCTCGTACCTACGAATCGGCTTCATGTTGCGAATAGCCAGCATCTTGGCGGTGGTTCTTGCTACGTCGAGATCTGTCGACTTGGCCTCGCCCAGTCCGAGCCTGCCGTTGCCGTTTCCGGCGGCGACGATGATGGAGATGCTGCGAATCTTACCCAGACGGGTCTGGTTGTGGACCCATCGCATGACGAGGGGCTTGGTGATGATGGTTTGAATGTCGGCAATTTTCATGCCGGTGGCGGCCTTGATCTTGGTGAATTCACCCGTACCGTCGAGCTCGTCGTCCTCGGCGTCCTCGGGCGTGTACAGGCCCTTGACGCCCGGGATTTTGCCGAGAGGGGCCTGGACCGCCGAGTTGCCATCGGGACCGTCGGCGGCCTTCCACGAATCAAGTTTCGACCCTTGCAAAATTTCGATATTGTCGTCGTCCGTGTTGAACTGCTGCTCGAGCGCCTTCATGAACTCCTCGTCGATCTTCTCGAGCCACTCGCGGCCCAGAGACTGATCCGCCGGCCTCGACTCCTTCTTGCCGAGGACGTCCACGTCCTCTTCGACGAGGAACTTCTTGCGCAGCTCCGGGTTCTCCTCGAGCTCCTTCAGCTCCTCCTCGGTGAAGTCGAGGACCATGGGGTTCTGCTTCTTGATATTGCGCAGGGCGCGGGCGTAGGCCTTGCCCATGGAGTCCTTGAGCTCGATCTCGACGCGGTTGGCCAGCTTCTCGACGTGGTTGTCCACCCATTCCCTCCGCGGCAGCCACTCCACCTCCCGCGGCTGCACGGGCTTCTGGGGTTTTAGGTCGATGACGGGCTGGATCTTGGAGAAATCTTCAATGTAGTTTTGGCGGTAGGGGTCGATGCGTAAACGGCCCTGCAGCATGAGGTCTTTCGGGTCGATGGCCTCCTCCGCGGCCTCGAGGGCCTCCATCTGCTCCGGGGTGTATCGCTTCCTGAGCATCTCCTTCTCCTCCGGGGTGTATGCCGGGAGGTGTTGCTTTACTAACTTGTCGAGTTTCTCGGGGTCACTCGTGACGCCCATCTTCTCGGCGATGACGTTCTTGAACCTCGACCTCCTGCGACCCGATTTGCTGGAGGAGCTGTGGAAGAGGCGGGCGGGCAAGACCGCGGGGGTGGCGGTCGTCGAGGTACTTGTGCATCTCGACAGGACGCTCCGGGCCGGGCGTACGGCGTTCATGGCGGCGATCGGGTCTCTTGTGCCAGTTCAGAGCCGGCTGCACGAGGGGGTTGTCGATTGTCGTCGCCGCGGGGCTCGGGGTGGTGGGTGCGATCGCGTGCGTTGGCCTTCCGTAGTCGACCTCGGTGCTGCGCGCCAGGCTGGTCGATAATTTTTTTGGAAGCTCAATTGGATGTACAATCGCCTGAGGTGTGAATTACGACATGTCATTGGCTGGAGGGGCATCCGCTGCAACTGAGGCCTGGCCCGTGCGTGCACAAAGTGTTGGCCGGGGCTTGAATTGATCTCGGGAGTCACATGATCTCGGTGGATGGGGGACTCGGCCGGCGCCACACCGAAACGCCCGGGGTGGAGAGCTGAGGCTTAGGTGCTGGTCAACTGAGGACGTTTCTTGGCTTCCTTGGCTCATTTCCAGGGGCAGACTTACCTAAGGTTGGCGCCTGGATCTGCTCACCTTACCCTCACGATTAGCCATGTGATGTTCACTCCTACAAGGCAACGGATGCTGGCATAGACGGTGATCGCGGTTCCTGGCGGCAGCAACTATTTGCAAATCAGACCAAACCTCTTCAGACCGGAAGCGCATGGGGGCATCGCGGAAGGCGAAGAAGCATCACGAGCACAAGCCCAATTCCCACTGCACCGATGGACCCCTTCCCAAGGGCCATGCCGACTAACCGCTGCAGTCCGTCCTTGCGCAACCAATCAGCGTCGGCAGACATCAGTCAACATTCTGCCGCAGGCCTGAAACGCGCATCGGAGCCCGGCCCCTCTCCTTTGTGGCAGGGCTGGCTAGGCTGGTAGGCAAAGCTCAACCACCAAAACGCTGTCGCGTCCCAGTCTCACCCACCCAAGGGCGGTCTAGCCTACGAAGGGGCACTGTGACCACCATAGGGCCATTTTCCCTTCCCTCCTCCAGGCCAGCCGTGCAAGCTTGTACCTGAATGTGACGTCTCCCGTTTCGAGAACCCGTAGCGGATCATCTTTCCATACAATCCCACGAACCCTCCCGCGCTTCCCTATTTTCCCCCTTCCTGCATCCCGTGTACCTACTTTCTTTTCTCCTGTTCTTCGCAAAACCTTCTCTCTCTCTGGCACTAATCACGCACCTCGCAATACCCGTACATTGTGTGGTGTTTATTCCCTTGTGACTGGCGCACTTGAGACTCAGACCTTCATTTTGACTTTCTTTCGAATACACACCTTTTAATCCACCACCACCACGCCACGGCCTACACCGATCGCAAATTACTCTCACGAAGAGCGACGATAATCACGAGTCATCACCAACACCGATCCACAAATTGTACCGTCCCGTCGCCACTTCCACCAGCGCAAAATGGGTCAATTCGACTGGTTCCGATCCATTGGCGCCACGCCTGAGGCCGTGGCCGTCCTGAACGACCAGCCCATTCTGTTCACGATCCTTTTGATCGTCCTCGTCGCCGTCATTCTGCAAATTGTCCTGCTCTGGTACATCCACTTCGCGACGTTGAAGCCGGAACAGAAGAAGAAGAAGGAGCCCAAGAAGGGGGCTGCCAAGGGTGGCAAGAAATAGGTGGAAGACTGGATTCGGCGGGGAGAAGTCACGACTCTGTTGGCAAGATCGTTCCGACAAACATCCGTTTGCATTTGGATTACGGCCATGATTTCGGGTTCGACCACCGACCGCGTCTGGCGGAGCTGGGCGATCTGATGCGAAGGATCGTTGGCATGTGGAGGTGGAAAAGGCGATGTCATGGCGTGGGAATAATGGGCAGGTTGGTGGGGGTTTTGACAGATGGGACCGACCATGTTCGGGTCAGTGGAGGACGAACTTACGATGCTCGAATGTCACAGGTTGCACTCGGCATCATTTTCTTGCGGCATAACTTTTCCGGTATAGATTTTCATCTACCAGAGGCTCATCTTGGATATCAACCGAGTTTCTGTAGTTCAACAGCGCTTGAAACTTCCAAATTGTGCCTACCCGTTTTCGAGAAAATGCGGCTCTGCTGCTGGCATGTCATCCTCCGGCCATATATGTTGCTGGTATAACGCCGACTCCGAATAGCCTTCATCAGATTCAAACCCGGCGTCGTGTCTCCAAGGACCGTTGTAAGATGGGTCGCGGAGAACGTCGTCTTCGGGACCTTCGCACATTGGCTCTGGGCTGCATAGTTCCATGCCGCGCCCTTCGCCCTCCACGCCTCTATTCTCATATCCATGCCATGCGTCTTCCCCCGGCGGTCTTAGTTCCGTGCATCGTTGGTTGTTGCAATGAGGGTCGTCCTCTTCGGTAGTGTCCAAGTCAAATCCTTCGTAGTCGTGGCGAACTCTGTCATCCTTTCCGATTAACCAGTATTCTTCCTTGCCAGCACCATCTGATTCCAGCTGTTCGCCAGTCTCCGTGTCAGACAGAGCAGGTGAAGCTTCTCCACAAATGCTGTGTTCAATAGCTTCGTCATCCATGTTCCCAAATTCGCTGACCATGTCTTCATCAAGCCCTTCCGCATACCACAGATCCGGCCATTCCCCAGCTCCTGTATCGTAAAAGCGAGCTGGTCTTCCAAGGTCGTCGGCCCAATCTTTACTATCGCCGTCCGAAGAATCAACTCCCATTTCCCAGCTCGGTGATGCGACTTCACTTCGATGTTGGCTTAGGTTCTCGTCTTCGCCGAAGTCAGACAGCTGATGTCCGCAGTCAGGGTCAAATTTCCCAGTTTCAGGCCTTTCTAAATAGTGGTGTGGCGACAGAGGGGCTTCCCAGGCCAGCAGCTTTTCTTCGGAAACCATGGCAAAAGTATGATCCAAGTCGTCATCCATAACATCGTCGACGTTATTTTCGTCGTCCGATGGAGTCTCAACTGCTGTCGCGGCGAAAACACCCTCTGTATGGCCAAACGATCCTTGGGCAACTCTGCGACGTCTTTGGCGAACCGGAGGCGGCACAGTAGTTTTCGAGTTTGTCAATCCCCAAAGTTTGCGCGCCAGTTCTCCGGCATCACTGTCTAAAAGGTCTCGTCTCCGCGACGATAGCTCGTCTGGGTCATTAGGGGCTATGATTTCCGTGGAGCCGGTATGGATTCGCTGCGCATCGACGAGTGTCGAGGTCAGAATCGGTAGTAGGCGTGATTGAACAGCGATTGCCTGAGACTGTCAGTATGTCCGTGGGCACTACGCAGTTCGGGCAGGACACCATACTGATAAGTGCTTGGTGTTCAGCACCTGTGGCATGAGTAGGCTGAGGGAAGGCGATGTCATCTTCGTAATCGTTCTGAAACCAGCCATTGCTTTTGGTCCGGATATCAAGGTGAATAGGCTGGCTTCTACAAGACCTGCAATGGCGTCCAAATACCGCGTCACTTCACCTTGGCCATCCGCGCCATCGAAGTGAAGGTTCTCAACAGCCGATGCCGCAGGGGCGAGTATTGACTCATCATTATGATCTTCGCATGCAACGGCTGGAATGGTACCCTCTTCAAGGGCGTCAAGGCCAATGCCTGAATCTTGCGTTTCTGGGAGATCTTCTGTGTCGTGCAGGGACTCCTACATCGCTGACGGCACTTCGGATTCCTGAAAGCTGTGACGACTAAGAGTCGGATTCAAGGCAGCTCTCGTGGATGGCGGTGGGCCTTTGGCACCCTCGGTTCCATTTGATGCGTCGTGCGTCTGATGGAAAGAGAATGTGCAGGTCAGATGCTGCAGAACGAGAATTGAGGTGCCCGCCGGTCCAATATTCTGAGACACATCGCTCTGATATTCCATCTTGAATGTAGACGATTGCGAGGCTTGGAGTTGTTTGACTTCTCGAACCAGCCGAATCCCCAGCTGGTCCCAAATCCACGGAAATGTTAGTCGACATTCACAAATGGCTTGGAGCATACTTACAGAGCAGGCTTGAATAAAGCAGGCCACATCATTCACGAGACTGGGCCCCGATGTGTCCTCAATCGGCTCTTCCTCGAGTATCGACACATGGAGCCGGCATATCGGCGCTTTCGACAAGTTAATTCTTCCTTCCTCCAGAACCGCGAGAAGCTCGTCTGGATCCGACACGGCAAAGTCTTCGAACAAGGAGCGCAAAGAGAAGTTGGATGCCACGGTGACGCTTAACGATGTTTTGGTATGGCGGAGAGCAAAAGGATCAAGCTGTATAACTGAGGAAACCATGTTTGAAATATAAACGAAAGGCAGGCATCGTCAAACGAACGGTGGCCAACTTGTCGATACGGCAGGCATGTGGCCAGTAAGCAGGGAAGTTGCAGCGGGTATGCTGCCCCGGCCTGTCAACGCCAATTGTGCGGGGATAGTGCGAGCGACCCCCATTCTGCACGGTGAATGGACATCCCACCTCGTTGTTGTACGTGGAAGAGAAGCAGATTGAGAAACCGCCAGATTTTCCTGTGTCCTGCGGCTGTATTTCCTGTGTTTTCTTAGTTACTTCCATCGAGAAAGATAGTAGTAGATAGCGAAAATAGTGGTAATAATAACGATAAAGGTGATTATGACGGCGAGGACGACCGTCAGAAAAAGGTGCATACCAGCCCACAGGACAAGCAGTCGCTCTGGCGCAAGAAAAATAGAGGTCTCCAGATTGAGAATACGGGAATTCTTTCATGAACATGATAGCAGACTTTGCCAGTTCGTCGCCTTTCAGATCACATTAGAGTACATTACACTGGTAAGACAGGCCGCGGAAAACGCAACCGTAACACAGCATATGTCGAGCACCGACAAAAGTGCACAGTGTGTAAGATCCAGGGAACTCAAACGGGAAAACAACTGCACGACCCTGCTTGCCTTGCCTTACTTACATACGGAAGCCGTTGAGCCACAGGCTTGGGCATAGCCGTATGCGCTTGGTCTAGCGCATCTTATCTTGGGGGTCCTCGGACTTGTGCGACTGCCATGGCGGGCAGCTAACACCTTTACGTGATCCACATGCTGTGATAGACTGTGTTGTAGTGGAGCAGAGATTGATAGGCGGGCAACCCACAGTGCGACTAGTCTACCCAGCGTGTCAAGCTCGGCATGGTGCATCCGTTTTTCCTCGGCGAGCACGACAGAAGCTGGGCAACTGGACTGCCAAAAGCCTGAATGACGCAGGCACCACTTTACACTTCCAACGTCTTGCTGGGGCCTGCCTTACTCACTGCGGATCAATTTCTGTCACTTACCAAGGAAACGCTGACGACACTCGACGAGGCATACCCGCTGTGTACTTGTGTGCTACTGTGCATACATCCACATTTCGACGACCTTTTCCAGCTCGGCTTGAATCCATCGCGCACCATCACCGCTAGTTCCACGGATTGCTATCTCATGAGGCAACAAACACGCGACCACCGCCACCAATCAACAAACGCCGTCAACCAACTGCCTCCAAAGTAACGAGAAAGTACCCGGTCACGCAAAAAAAACTGAGCAGCATCCAGCCTGGGTATCTTGGCCGCTGTCACCGGACGACTCAGGGCTCCTCTATCTCCCAAGGAAAGGACCAGGATCTGCGGTCGCGGTCCTGCACCACGGGTCGGCATCTGACTACATCCACCCACACACGTCTCGTCCACGGCCCGGCCTAATCGTCACCCCTCCCGCCGTCCCCCGTCCTCCTCCACCACCACCACCTTTTTTTTCCGGTCCAAGGCGCGGTGCGCGGAATTGCGTCTCGAACGCCCGCCCAGTCGAGAGCATGCCTCTTTTCGATCTTGGTTCTCTCTTCCTCGACCACGTCGTTTTCATCACCAACTTGGTCTACATCAACATCGCCTTGACCAATGCAGAGCCCAGCATACTCTTCCCTCTCTATGTTGTGTCGAAACTGCTGGCTCGAGGACCTGACGATTGGGATTCCCCTACTGCGAAATGGCCGCCGCCGGTCCCCACGTGGTAGCCGATTGCGGCTACCAAACTCCAGATGAGCTCAACCGCCCTTCCTATTTCTCTGCCGCTCCTGAAGGCGCCTCGGCTTCTGCTCCCGCACTGAGTTCGCCAGTGAGGCGCCCGGCATTTGTTCCGCATCCTTCGTATGGTCCCGTTCTGCCGTCCGACTCTGGTCCAGCCGCCTCCGATTCCCAGGCGCATTCAAATGGGCATACCCCCGACAATTTGGATTCGCGCATGGAGAAGGGCTCTAGTAAAAGGTCACCCAATGGTCGGGTTGGTCTTCGTGATAGGATCGTCTGTCATACGTGGACATGGTTCACCATGGTATTGCATATCTTGACCTTTCTCTTCACATTCCTAGACTGACTGATAGCAGACGATGGTATGACATACTGACTTCTTGATGTTCGCGATCTGGCACTCACCATGACATAGGCAACTGGAGGAATGGCAAATGTAATACATTCCCGTAAGTAAGCCAATCGCGAGCATGAAATGCGAACTTCAAACTCATACCTCGACAGTTCCGTACCAAGCTGCGTGGCTAAATGGCATAGCCATAGCCTTCTTCCTACTGAACGTTCTTCTTTTCGTCATGAACTGTGTCTTGGCAACATTACGTTTTCACTGGCGCCCAGGGACCTTGGTTCATACCTTCACCGACCAGACAGAATCACTGTTCATACCGGCATCTGTAAGTCAAAACTATCTTGAGTCCTACAGTCACTAATACTCTGTCCCAAGGTTGTTTCGTAAGTACCATCTAGCGCTCGCCCATGAGGACAAACTCTGAACGTGACAGGTTTGCCATCATATGCATAAACATTTGCCAGTTTGGTGTTCCGTATGTTGGGCCATGGCTCCTGAGGATTATGCAAATCCTGTTCTGGTCATATACCGCGATGAGCGTGCTGGCTAGCGCTACCATATACTTGGTCCTCTGGTCTACATTGTAAGAGTTCACTAAGCTGAGAAATCTTGTAAACTGCTAATGGTCCCGAAGAGTCTTCCCCATCCACACTATGACGCCAACCTGGGTATTCCCAGCCTATCCTCTACTTCTCACTGCGCCCTTCGCCTCAAACCTCATCACTGCCGCATCCCAGACAAACCAGACACAGGTCATCTTGAATAGAACGGCGATTGCGCTCTCTGCTGTGGCCACACAAGGTGCAGGATGCTTGATCGCCTTCATGATCTCAGCCGCCTTCATCTATCGATTAATGACACAAAAGTTGCCGCGCGACTTTCAGCGGCCTGGTGTGGTACGTCATACTGCGATCTCCTCAGGAAGAAAGTACTCATCATCTATTAGTTCATCTCTATCGGACCATTTGCGTTCACGGTTGGCGGGATAGGTGAGATTGGCTATTCGTATCATTTGGTATGGTTTGCTGACCTCCACAGTTCTGCTGGGGAACCAAGCCGATAAGATCTTGCCTCAAGGATTCTTAGGCACCGACTTAGCCGTGCCAATTATCAAGGTGCTCTCTGTCATGATCGGATTGTGGCTCTGGGGTCTCTCCGTGTGGTTCTTTGTCGTCTCCGTCGGGTCGTTGTGGAAGTATGTGCGGCCAGCAAACAAGATGCCTTTCCAGATGACGTGGTGGTCGTTTGTGTTTCCCAACACTGCACTCGTCACTGCCACTGCAGCCCTTGGAAAAGTGTTCCAGAACTCTGGCCTTCAGATTTTTGCGTGTGTCATGGCTGCAGGATTGATTGTTGTATGGGTTGTCGTGTTTGTAACCATGGTTCGATGTCTGTACAAAAGGGAGCTGCTTTGGCCGAAAGATACCCAATAATAGTCAAGCCTAGGCTGACTTTCTGTCTAAACAATTCCAAAATGAACATCAAATATGCTACCAGGCGGACGCGGTGCCGGATAGTTGATCGAAAAGCCAGTTCCATGGTGTAAGTCGTTGGAAATACCTTCCAGGCACTGCTCCCCCCTGTCACGCCCACAGTGCGGTGTTCGCTAAAGGGAGACCGGCAGCGGGATGTGAGTGGGGCCAGGTGTCCTGCTCCCAACCACCAACCTCTCACTCACCAACTCAGGCACGGCCTCATCGCTGATGTCAAGTGTCCTCATTTGGAATACGCGACAACGTTCTCACATGGCATCGTATCGACCATATCGGACTAAGGTGTGATTCTCATACTCTGGCCATAATGTCGTGGGATTCTAAGTCGGCATTGCGCCGACGCCAAAGCAGCAACGCAGCCTCAACCAAGAACATTCCCATCCATACACGCCAGCAGTCCAAGTCGACCATTGAGCCAAAATCGAGCCATGTAGCCGACGACTTCTTGCAAGACTTTTTGGATCCCTCTTTTGATCCTGCAGCCTACCTCAACGCTTCGCTGCCGCCGTTACAGCCCAGCGGTCACTATGCCTCACGCAACGGAGGCCAAACTGTTCCTTTGGCCGATCTCTCCAACGAGGCGCAGACGCTGCTGTCCCAGCTCAATGTCCACACGACCAGGCTCTCAGGAACCCTCACACAGCTGACTGACGATATTCTGAGAAGTGGCAGTCGACTTGCGTATGAGGTCGAACTCTTGCGAGGCGAGACGTTGAGTCTTGCCGAGACAATGAACGACAAGTTACAAGACGACATCAAAAAGTTCGTCCCCGGTGGTCTTAGTGAGGCCACGAAGGACGCTCCTTCTAAGACGACGGACGCGGAGGAAAGGAGGGCTTCAGTCGGCGCGACCAAGGCGGAAGAAGCCACCGCAGCGACGGTATTGACCGAGGATGAGGGTGCAGTTGAGGAGCCACCGTACATCAAGCAGCTGCGCACCCTGACTGTCGTGCGGTCTCGCCTGGACTCTGTAATCAAGACGTTTGGCGACGCCATGGACTTTGTGTTCCCCCCTTCGGAACTCTCAGTCAGCTCATCGTTTCTCTCCGTCTCAGCGCCGGAGCCCGGCTCCGATCAGCACAGCACAGAGGACAAGGGCCAGCAGGTGCTTCAGAAGCTGCGGGACGAGATATCACAGCTCCTGCACAAATCAGAGGATCCCGTTCAGGGGATCGAGAAGGCTGCGCAGCGAATCGAGGAGCTCAAGGACCTCAACCAAGTGTGGAAGGGCACGGCGGAGGAGAAGGGACGGACAAAGTTCATTGAGAGTCTGGCCAAGATGGTCGAGGACCGGCACCGCGATCTGATGAAGGAGGTGGACCAGGCGAGTCGGAACCAAGGCAATGGGAATGAGGGGAGAGCGCGCAAGGGGAGCGTTCATGCCGACCCCGCGGAAACGAAGACATATCTTGGTGGCTATGGCTTGATGAGCCAGCTGCAGAAGCTTAGAAGCGGACTGTAGGCTGTCATTATGAGATCACGCATCGAGTGCCTGGAAATCCCAGACGTCCCAAATATGATTAATACAGTATTGCTGCTTGTTGCTCATTATCGCGTACCCCATGCGGTCCTGAATTTCGGATCTGGTCTGTTGCTGTCTTCAGTCCAGGACCCTGCTGTACGGTGCGAAAGACGCGATACACAGGGATAATGCGCTGGAAATTGACGTGGCACAGTGCTGTCGTTTTTTCGTCCCTTCTCGGTTCTGTCACTGGGCCTGGTCAAAGCGAAGGTCGTCGGCGGGCCACGGAGCCAATGAAAAATCTCAGTCCGCCAGCGGTCAGGTACAGAGCACCCTTGCAGCCACTAACTGAGAAGGCTGACAAGGTCGCCTGGCACAGGACCATTCTTTCGCAGTGCCCTCACCTTTCTCCTCCGGCCCAGCTTTCCACACAAACACCGCAGCGATCTGCCTTACGAATGGGCATTTGGTCGGGTTCCTCCTTTACTGAGAGATGTGATTGAGATATAATCTCTTGTTCATACCTCGTCGACGTCAATCTATATACATCTTTGTCTTTTCTCTCTGCCGCACCCGTCGCCCGAGCTACGGCTTGCGACGGCCGGCTTCACACCACCCGCCCGGTTCCGCAGACCAAAACCTCAATCTTCCTCCACGCTCAGCCCGATCTATAACACTCGAAGATAGCAATTCACATACAATCTTCGACTATTCAGTACCATGGCTACCAACGACGCAGCTCCCCCCAACCTTGGGGGCGCTTCGGGCCACCAGAAAACCGGTCGAGCATCGCCCGCACCCGCAGCTCAATCGAAGCGCGACCGCAAGCGCCAGGTTCTGGCCGACAAGATTAACAGTCTCCAAGAGAAATTCAACAGGGACCGTGAAGTCGGATACCGGGACCAGCTTCAGAAAGTTCAGGTTGACACCAACTTGGTTCAGCGGATCGACCCCTACTCTGAAGACGTCCTCAGCGTCATCGCCAGCCTGCGCCAGGAGCATGACGAGACTCAGGGACAAGAGCCGCTGGCCGATTCCAGCCGGACCCTCCTCCAGATGGCAGGTCCCAAGTTCGAGGACTTTGTCCAGGGTATTGAGGATCTCATTGAGTACCGAGACTTTCACTTACTCCAGCACATGGTGAGTGCGACCAACTTTTCCAACGGTCGGCTAAACTGACAAATGCAACAACAGCACGAACACGAGCGCCGCCTCCACCAATACAAGAATGAATACCTCTACAAGGTCGAAACCGCAAAGCGCGAGCACAGCGCCCTCTCTGCTACGCTCCGCGATCGTCTCGTCAACACTCTGCTCTCGAGGAAAATCCGCCTTAATAAGGAGAAGGAAGCTCTGGAAATCTCCGACTCGTCCGCCTTGCTGCTCCACCCCAATCAGTTCAGCATTACCAACCCCGCCAGTCCTGGCGGCACACATGGGAAGCGAGAAACAAGGTTGCGCAAGGACGCCGAGGAGTTTCCGGGCTATTCGGATAACAAGAAGCGCAAGAGGAACCCCGGCGAGGACGACGGCTCTCCTGTCCCCTCCAGGCGGGCGCTCGACCCTAACAGCACGACACCCCTCTGGCAGAACGAGAAGCTTCGCGTCGCGGCGAAGCAGAACGGTCCCGCCTACAGTATTGATAAGCTGTTCACCGAGAAGGAGCTCACGATGGCGTACAACGCGGCAGCGATTGCCGCCCACAAGCACATTCTGAGGCACAAGGCCTACGCGAACGGTGGCTCTTCTCCCGGTAGCGATTCCGGTCACGGCGAGGATGGCGACCAGGATGGCGAGGCTTGGCCTGCAGCGCCTATGATGGAACGCACCAGCTCTCACGCGACTAGAAGTACCAGGGCTGGCATCAATCAGAATCTGATTGACGCCGTCGAGGGGGCCAATGGATTAGAATTGCCCAAGTACCTCGAAATCATGCATCCGCATGAGCCCGCCAAGTTGCCGTCATCATCCATGACCAATTACTTCAAGCCTGTCAGGGGAAACACCGATGCCAACCTCCCGCAGTCGCTGTCACAGGATGAGATCAGCTCTGATATCATGGTCATGGACCTGTTCAAAAAGTATGATGCTAGCCACAAGCCCGGCGATTCCATCGACCATCCCAATGGCAGCAGGAGGCTGCTTGAAGCTTCCATTGCTCCTTACACCAAGACGCCTTGGTCAGGCTTCAAGCCTGGTCCTCGACCGGACCCGACGAACCTTAGAGAGGACCTCCAACCGATCGAGAGCAGCGTGAGAGACGAAGCTCCCCCACCAATGTCATCTCTTGCAGCCGTCGCTGCGGTGCCGATGAGCCGCAACAGTAGCGCGGCTGGTGGTGCGGCTATGAGCCGGCAAGGCAGCTCCCGCGGAAAGGGCCGCAAGAACCAGTCATGAACATGCTGATGATTTAACGGTGTCTCGGAGTTCGGAAAAGGATTGGGATTCGGTATTTGAACATTGATGTTTTCAGTAAGGCCAGCATCTGGGCGACACGTGGACAACACGTCCCCTTTCCCGCGGTTAGACTCCGCGTATAGAGCGACTTTGCATTTTCATTTTTCGAGACCTACGATTAAGGACTGTACGTTGTGGAAGCATACGGTTCCAGGACACAGGGTGGCATATGGCACGAGAGCTTGTGATTACGAGGGGACGCGTCTCCATCTGATATTAGGACAGCTCGCATGCATTGATACCCTAATGCTCTTAATTTAACATGTTATCGTGAAGTCATCATCTAGTCTCTGCTCTTTTCCCACTCAAGGTCCGAACACTAACGCGCGAACTTCGATGCTCTCGCGGCCTTCAGCCTCAGGTCTTGTCCTAGGGTCAACGAAAGCAGTATGAGCCAGTCTTCCACCCTGAACCCCGGTCCCGTCTCGAAGCCCCTCGCTGTCGAAGCACTCGAGAAGCAGCCGCTCGTCTCCGGTCATGCCGCTCAGGTAGTACCACTTCTGGCTAGGGCTAAACTTGATCCCCGCGGTCTGACCGGTGTAGCCGTTGGAGTATCGATGTTCGATGGGGACGATGTCCGCATCGTCCAGCGTCGACGACGAAGCGAAACCCAACGGGAAAGACTCAACGGGGTTCTTGTTGAGCGGCCTCCAGACGTTGATGATCCGGTACCGCCCCGCCAGAAGCTTATCCGCCTCCTCGGGGAGGTGCTTCTTCACGCGCTGGATGACGGAGATGGGGGTCTGGTCGATGTGCACGCGGGTGACGGGGTTCCTGTTCGCCTTGGGGTCTGCGCGGCGGATGGTGTGGTCGAAGAAGAGAACCCGGTTGGAGCCGGGAACATGCTCCAGGAGCAGCTTCTCGAGCTCCGGGTAGTAGTTTTGCTTGATGGATTCGTCGTCTACAAACTCCTTCTCGGCGGACGGGGGCTGGTTGCGGATGACGGCGAAGGCGTCCTGGTCGAGGTTGAAGTCGGCCTCGCGGCCGCGGATGTCGTGCAGGAGGGCCTCCTGGACGTCGTCTGAGTAGTTGCGTCCCGGGAGGCCTTCGGGGACGATGGTGTTGTAAGGGGCGGAACCGTCTTCGGGAGGGGCAAAGAAGTTTAGGGTTGCGCGGACATCACCGCGGGGGATGGTGTCGATGGCCATTGTGTTTATGCTGAGAGGGGTTATGAGATACAAAGTCGGATAAGTTGGTCTGAGAACCAGGGGACGTCTGGTGAAGTCGAAAATGAGGCTGACGATGTTTTGAGTTTGAGACTTATATCGAGGTGTGTAGTGGCAAAAGTCGGGTGTAAGTGTTCACAATGGGATGCGGATGATGATGTTTCAATGGAGTCTGGTATTTCCGAAATCTTCGGGATACATGGATTTCACTTTTTCTTTATACTCGTAGGCACCGATTGTGTATTTCAAAGCAAGACAGAAAATGAAGCCATTCGAACCGCACAATGGCCATTGCTTGTGAGAGAGCAATCACGTCATTTGGGCTGATTGGACGGGCAAGGAGCAGCGCAGAGGATGGGGATTAGTCAAACCGGGCCTTGAAAGGCGTAGAGTGGAGGATGCACGCGGGGATGGGCTTCTTGGCCCGTGGATTAGTCAAGGTGGCTTACGGCAGCCAGCTTGAATTGAGCCGGGAGACGTGGCATTGGCTGGGTCCTTTGGAGGAGCGAGGTGCTGCAAGTCATGTAAGTGCGGGTTTCTATGCACAATGTATGTCGACTTGACACTTAGATTTGACGTCCATCAAAGCCCTGCGAGTGCGACGGGAAGGATTGCTTCTTGCTGTCCGTCCCCGTCCTGGCAGCTATTAGGACTTGGGCATCGTCGCGCATCGTTCAACCCAACATTTTGCGTCATTCTTCGGAGAATCTGACCGGACAAGTTAGGTTCGTGCAAGGCGAGGAGCTTTGATGCCGTCTTGGGGTGATAGAGTTCAATCTCTGGCAGCTACCGGTGCACGATCCCAAACGGCGAGATCAGATCGCGATACCGATAAATGCCGGTACAAACCCAAAGCATTCCCCGAAACTGGGGCTGCCGGGAATAAGCACCGCAAAGGGTGGCTTTTACATAAGCAAACGCGATCTGGGGAAGCCGGTCGATGATGACATTTCACCGTGTAAAAGAAACAGTGCTATCGATAGTGGTCACTGGCTGCAACCCTTCACTCCAAGAGGGTGCAGCCGCTTTCCCACCCGACTCACCCACTTTTCCCACCCGAGGGTGCTGCCCACTGCGTGTGTTGCAGTGTTCCACTGCCCAAGCATCGGCACTTTTCTGATCTTCTTCAGCGTCTGAGTGGTCTCTGACGGGTGGTGGGGCTCAGCCGGCGCACTGGTTGCAGCGAACCAAGAGGAGCCCGCCCCCAAAAGCCTCCCAATCAGTGGCGACGGCTGAATGAAAGGGAGCCCAGGGGCCGGTTCTGCCCCCTTTCAGCAGCAATGAACAAAGGCTAATTTTAGTAGTGCGGACCTTCTCCCGGCGTGCCTCCTCGCAAGGGCCCTAAATTAACCCCGACCTCTGTCCCGTCCGCTGCTGCCACTGCTGCTGCTGCTGGCTGCTGCAAGCTCAGACTGCCCGGCCGAGTCGATGGATGTTTGAATTGAACCAAGCTTTTTCATCTTGAAAGCCTACCCCCATTGACACGGAGCTTGGTATCCGAGTGAGATCCAGTGAAGGGACGAAATTGACATCGACCGTCGGCTTTTACCTGTCGGGGATTACGCCTCCTGCAATTGTTGGAATCTCTTCATCCACAGTACCACCGCGCGCCCTCAACACCATCAACCGCGAAACCACAGAGACAGAGACAAATTGGGGTCCCGCTTCTGAACGGTGATGCCTCCGACATCCCCAGTCACGTCGCGTCGCTAGCTTGCTTGCCTTGCCCACTTGGCTGGCCTGGCCTGGCCCCCTCCCTTCGTCTCGTCCGTCGCGCAATCCTCTGCCAAATGCGCCTGGTAATCGTTCATCCCACGACTCGTCCATGTTGATGATGATGTCCATTTCCACGGACCCTCCAACACCGACTCGTGCGCCATGATATCCCCGCAACAGCAACACCAGCACCAACACCAGCATCCAACCCGCTTGCATGGGCAATCCCCGTCGCCGTCCATGGCCCATCAACACCACTTGCCACTCGCAACCGCAGCTCCTCCGCCGCCGCTATCCTCATCATCCATGACGGCACGCTCGACACTCCCAGACAGGAACGTGACCGCTGCCACCATCGAGGAAGCCTACGTGCAGTTCGTGCTGCATTGCAATCCTGCCGTGCCGGCTGAGACGGACACCGCCGCATTACGGGAGGCGTTCCGGGTGCCGCCAAAGAGCGGCGGCAAAAGCTTCAGCACTTTTACCCTGTTCCAGCTCATCAGGCAGCTGGAGACGAAGGAGATCAAGACATGGGCCGAGTTGGCGCTCAAATTAGGCGTCGAGCCACCCGACCAGGACAAGGGGCAAAGCTCGCAGAAGATCCAGCAGTATGCTGTCCGCCTCAAGGTGTGTGTGAAAGAGCCTTTACGGTCTGAGAGAAGCTGATCATTGCAGCGCTGGATGCATTCCATGCATGTGGACGCCTTTTTTGAGTATTTGATGGATCATCCGCATCCGTACTGGACTGAGATCCCTGACGACCCGACTCCTGTGTGTGAAGCAGGACGGGATGGCGTAATGGCGGAGGACGACATGGCTCTTCGAGCCCTATTACCACACATCAAACCTCGACGTGGTAGGAAACGTCCGGAAGATGACGACCTTGCCAAGTCTCCATCACAGCGCGCCAGGATAGACTCGCCGCCAATAGGGAACGGTTACAGAGAAAACCTGGGCTCGTGGTCTGCTCACCCCGATGGCAGGGCTACCTTTGGCTGCTCAGATCCTCTAAAGCTGAGCGCAAACACAGCATCGGCATCCGGCTGGCCACAAGCCCCTGACGCGGCGCAGACACCACTCTCGGCGTACCCTCAAGGCCCAATGTCTGCCATCACGCCGTCGACAAACCGCAATGCGTTCTGGGGTGAAGCGGAGCCCAGGTCGGCAATCACGCCATCAAAACCAAAGGGGTCACATCGGAGGCACGGCGCCAAAGTTGTCTCTTCAGCATGGCGGAGTGGTGGTCCCGGTGCCTCCGGCAAGACCCGCGGCAGGCCGCCGATGAACAAGGCCAACGTCGACGGGCCGTTCGTAGCATTTCCTGCGGAGGGACCAGCTTACAAAAAGCCCAGTCCAGAGAACAAGAGCGTCGAGACGCCGATCACGCCCGCGGCGTCAATAACCCAAAACACACCACCAGATATGCCCCAAGACTACTACCTACCGCGCATCCCGCAGATGCCGCGGCCAGCAAAGCCCAGCATCTCATTACAAGTACCCGACCGGCCCGGCGGCGCAGTCCGTCTGGCAACACCGCCCCCACCGGTAGTCATGGTCAACGGTGACCTACCAGACACAGGGACCCTTCAAACGACGGCGCCGGCTGTCGAGCTACCTCCCGGCAGCGGTGGCAACGGCTTAACACAACCGCCGGTAGACCTGCGAGCCCAAGAGACCGCGCCAGACGTACTGCCTGCCGTGAAGGGCAACGAGCCGCCGCCGCTATCGAACGACATCCCCGTCGGTATGTTCGAGAACATGGAAGACCGCACCAACATCGAAGCCGTGCTCGGCTACTTCACCGAGGAGACGGCGAACGGCGAATGGGTGGACCAGGACAACAACCCCATCGAGGGGTGCAGCATGGCGGAGGCGTCTGCACTAGTGCACACGACGGTCGAGAGGATGTGGCAGACGGCACCAAACCAAGACGCCTTCCTGATCAACCTTGCAGCATTGGCTGGCGGTAGAGCGCTGATGACGACGAGCAAGCTGAAGGTCAAGCGAGAGATGGAGTACGAAGACCGCGCGACGTACAGCTGCGCATGGGAGTTTCGGATGGGGAGCATCCGCGGCAACTACAACATGGTGCAGACGGTCATGTATAACAGATGGAAGAAGACCGAGGAGGAGAAGGACAGAGATAAGCCGGCCGAGAAAGCGACGATAGGGGGAGTTATCGAACCAGAGTCAGGGTGGGAGCAGAAATACCGCGACTTACTGGCGGTGTCTGAACGGCGAGACAAGGAGCTGCAGGATCTCAGGTCCGGACTGGTGTCAACGCTCAGCAAAACATTCAAGGATGCAAAGGAGCTGGACGAGAAGCATACTAAAAAGGTGTGAGGGCGCGGCGGTTACCTGGGAAATGGAAATAACGGCACACAGCACATATCAATGTTTGGGGGCTGTAGGTGTAATATTCGAAAGGGCATGGGAGCAATGACTCGCATTTGGAACGACCAAAAGCATTCAAGCCGGCGTGGGAAATCTTGATATGGGACCGGCTGGAAGTCTGGAGTAATAGGCATATCACCGAATATGATGTGTTCTTGGATCATTTTGACTCCGTTTCGGCTTGAGTCTGTGGACATCGGCACTTCTGTGTTAATTGGGGCCAAAGTTATTCTCGGATACGGGGAGCAATACCGACTTGCAGTGAAAGCCAAGCCATGTATTGCACCCGGGCAAGCAACAAAATGCTGGCACGAGGTTCACCAAATTGGCAATGGCGTCCTGAATTGAGAAGAAACAATCCATCGTTTCTAGTTTTTAAGCAGCAGGTAATTATATGATAGCTGCATCAAGATTACGGTTTGCTCCAATTGTTTGGGCATTTCCCCTCTTGAGGGCTGACTCTGTGGATTTCGCTGGCTTGATGATAGTTTGACAACAAGGTGCTCCGCCAGAAAACACCACGATCCCCGATCGTCCCACGAACTTGGTCTTATATTTCTAATGATATCCACTCTTACTCTAACCCATCACCGCCCCCGGTATCCGTTGTCTGACTCGTCTGCCGTCGTCTTGCCTTCTGTCCCTCCCACAACGCCGTCATGGACCCTCACGAGGGTTTCATCAGGCCTACCGATGAATATGCTGTTGGGAAGGAGTTCAACTTGTTCCCATATAAGCCCACCGAGCCTCATGGCACGGAGGCGTACCGACGCCGACGTCTTCCGGCAGACGAGATCGTCGGCAGCATTCGAGGTTTTGACCCGACGAGGGACTTCACCACAACCAAAGCCAAGGTGCGGATCGAGGACCACATTCGCATCGGCATGAATCAGCAGTCTCAGATCTTTGGTCTCAGCATCGTGCATGCTCCGTTGGACGAGCGTCCGGCAACTGAGCAGCAATCCCTCTACCACCCCGTCGGATCTGGCCATCCCATCACCTGGAACCTGGTCGGCAAGGCGGTCGATGTGGAGTACGCCTTGAGCGGTTCCGTGGGAGTTAAACAGGTTGAGGAAGCGGCTGATGGGCGTGTTTGCTGTGAGCACGCCGCCTATACGTACTATCGCAGCCTGGGCAAGACTGGGCACCCGCACATCATGCCGCAGTTCTACGGCACTTGGGTCATGGAGCTTGATGATGGTCTTGACGATGAGGGTTTCCCGATGAGCAGATACGTCTGTGTCTTGCTCCTTGAGTACATTCATGGCTACTCTATCGACGAGTTATGCTATCACGAAGAGGAAGATGAGGACTACTTTGGCAAGCTGGCCGGCTTCCATCGGGTCGACAACACCTGGACCAACGGCTGGATGGACGAACCGACTCGAGCGCTCGTCATCAAGAAGATGCTCCACGGCGTTGTTGTCGGCATGCACCACGGCGTTCAACACCACGAAGCCAACCCGGAGAACGTCTTCATGACACTGCGGGACGGCACCAACAACACCGACCTGGACGAGCTCCGCGTGGTCCTGCTCGATCACACCGCCACCCAGATCTGGCGCAAGACTGTCGATTCGCATTTCCACGGAAGAACACACTGTCTCGAGAAGCTCCCGTATCCTCCTCATCCCAAGCAGGGTTGCAGCGTGGTACCACTCGAGGACTACGTGGGGTGGTGGCCACCGGCTCCCGAAGATCGTCCTGGCGAGGACTTGAATGAGATGTTTGACGCGTGGATGCTCAACGAGGACGTGTTTGGCCCGTTGGAAGCGGGCTTGCAAGGGCAGGGGTGGCCGCACAAGTACGTAAAGTACTCCACACTCGTTACGCTGGACGTTATCGAGACGCAGGAGCCTCATGAGATGAGAAAGAAGGTGATGCGCGAGGTGATTATCCCCAAGGTCCTCTCGTACTGGCGTATGATGAAGGAAAACGATCGCGCGGAGCTCGGGGATCGGGAGAAGATTTGCGAGGAGAGTGAAGACGAGTCTTTCGGAGAAAGTAATTCGTCTCTTGAGGAGTATACTAGACATCTTCAAGGGAGGAACGAGTTTCTCGAACAGCACGTCAAATCGCTCGAAGACAGAAACGAATCTCTTGAGGAGAGAAATAGACTTCTTGAGGAGAAGCTTGAGGCGCTCAGTTCGGAAGAGTCTTCCGCAAGCTCACGGCGTTCCTTGTCTAATTTCCAGCCCCCGCGAAACCAACAGCCTCAACCTAAGCAAATTCCACGCGGCCCAGCTGAGCCGTATTTTAGCCCCAAAGCTCTTTACGACGAATATCTCTCTTCGATTGGTATAGACAGTTCTAAACACCCGTTTACACCACCCAGTTCCTCTCCTAGTCCTCGTCAGGATGGAGCATCATTACGAGGCTCATCTCTTTTTGGCGAAAGCCCTAGTCCTCCCTCAGCTATAAGAAGAGGTGGAAATCGCAGCAAGAAGTCAGTTCAATGGCAGGACATGGAAGGGGAAGCGGAAGTGGAGAAGGAAACAGATGGTTTGGTCCAATGTGAGCAGATACCGACAGCAGACTAGAAGTTAGTGTATAGTTTCTGAGCAAAGAAGTACTGTATGAGCAGGTAGCTACTTTCATCTTCTCTGATTCTGTTTTGTCTCTGGTCTGGTGCCCTTCGTCTTCCTCCCCTCGTCGCTGGTCCCCGACTCTGGCCTCGTCCTCAGTAGCCATCTCACAAGGCCTACTTTGAGGTTTTGACGGTTGCATACTAAAGTAAGATGAAGGAGATGGCCTGAAACGATTTTCACGCCTGCAAATTGTCAAAAGAATCACCTCGAGAGACCTGCCGAAATCACCACTGGCGAGGATTATAAGTGAATGTTGTTGGTAGAGGCTCACAGGATAGCTTACTAAGTCCCCACAGAGAGAGCTCCAGCGCGTCAACCAATGAGATGGAAACCGCTCAACTACAACAAACCTCCAGTTCACCACCTTCTCCAAGTCGCCCTCTTTCTGCGTAGAGTTATAAGTCCCAACTCAAAATGCTCATCAAGGAGTCTCACGTCGATGTGCCGACCAAGGCGGACGGCAAGGATGGGTCCATGAGTTTGTCCCCTCCAACTCTCCGATATCGTCTACAAACCATGGATGCTAACGACTCACAGGAATCTTCCTCTTCCACCCCTCGATCCCCGGCTTCCCCAACGCGTAGGTACAAACCATTCTGACGCTGTCTCAAGAGCATATCAATTGACAATGTTACCAGCAAGTTCCCCGGCGTCTGCCTCTTTTCCGAGATTTACCAAGGTCCGCCTCATCGCCTCCGGCGGGGTCGAAGAAGCACCCCGCACAACCCCTCCACACCACTGTCAACCCCACCCACCGATCTTCACCGATCTACACCGGGATCCTAACCGAACAACTTGCTTGCTCGTGTTCCCTCTCTCCACTCAGATATCCATCATGATGGTGAATTTGCTAAGTTGAGTCAAAATAGTGACCGGCCCCGTCGCCCGCTTCGCTCGCCAGATCGCCGGACAAGGCTACATCGTCGCGGCCCCGTCATCGTACCACGAATTCACCGGTCCCGAGCCCCTGGCCTACGACGTTCCCGGCACTGACGCAGGCAACGCCTGGAAGGTCGAGAAGGTGAGAACTCCCATCCTCGACCCATTCACCTCCCTCCTTTAGCTTACCCCTAACCTCACTCTCCAGACCCTCGAGTCGTACGATGAAGACTCCCGCAGGACAGTCGACGTCCTCCTCGGCCTGCCTACCTGCACCGGCCTCATCGGCAGCACGGGCATGTGCCTCGGCGGCCACCTCGCCGTCCGCGCCTCCGTGAGCTCCCAATCCCCCCTCCCTTCATGATGTCACTAACACACCCACAGCTCGACCCCCGCATAACCGCCTGCGTCTCCTACTTCGCAACCGACATCCACTCCCGCACCCTCGGCCCGCACTCGGCCAAGAACACCTCCGCGACCGCCCCGGAGGGCAGCACGCACACCCTCGATCTGCTGCCGACCCTCGCGCACGCCGAGGTCGCCATGATCTTCGGCGTCAAGGACACCCACGTCCCCGCCGAGGGCCGCGACCTCATCCGCGCCAAGCTGCGCGAGGCCGGCGTCACGACCTCCTTTTACGAGTTCGCCTGGGCCCAGCACGCCTTCATCCGTGACGAGCTGAGCAAGGGCCGCTATGACCCGGCCATCACCAAGGTGTGCTTTGAGGTGTTGCTCGAGTTGTTTGGGCGCGTGTTGAAGACGGACCTGGGGGCCCCCGAGGTTGTTGGCGAGCCGGAGCACGTCTGCTGAGCTGTTGATGTATTAGTGTAGTGCTACTTATGCTCATACATCTCTCACATTACAATGAATACGGAAAAAGTCTCAAGTGATCTCTCAAGAATAGTATTTAACTGCGGACGACATGTCATCATACTCTATTCGTAATCTATCTGTTCCCCCCATGTGAGTTTAAGGAAATTCATTAGGCACGGGGAGCCAGTCTCAATGCCCACGTTAAGAAAAGGGCGCCGCCAGTGTCGATGCATCTGGCCGGCTTGGTATTATTCTCTCCATCATCTTTTCAATTTTCTCCATTTTACTTCCTTTTTTTGGTTCTATATCCCCTCGCTTCCACTACTGCTTCTTCTGCGTGGTCTGCTGAGAGGTTCCTTGGGCGGCTTGTTGACTGTTCGAGACGCTCCGGCCTCTGGGGCGCTGGCCTGATGGGGGAGCGCTCTGGAGGGGGTGGGGTTCCATGGCGGTTGCTGACGTAGGGGACAAAGTTTGGCCGGCGTAGTAGCCCTGAGACGGAGCGCCGTAGTACTGAGAGTTGTAGGTTCCGGTCACGCCAGTCTCGGCCTCCTCGTCGTATGTGCGGTTGTTGCGCGAGGTGGTCTTGGTGAGGTACATGCTAGGTCCCTCGCCCATGGGGGATGAGGGGATGGCTTCACCGGGCTTGCGACGGCCGCCGCCACCCTTGGTGCTGCCTCTCTGCAGCAGCTGGCTGCGGACGCGCTCGATATCGTTGGAACGACGGCGGTCTTCCGACTTACGGTCCTTAGATCCCGACAGAGTATCGTCGTCGCCCACCCTGTATCCCCACTCATCCTCGGCCAGGGGGTCGCGCGTGTTGAACTCGTTCATGGCCTGCTTCTCCACCTTCGAGTCAACGGCGTCGTTACCAGCCGCAGCGGCCGAGGGAATCATGCGAGCAGCCTCCTTGTCCTTGGCAGCCTTGTCGCGAGCCGCCGCCGCAAAGTCGTCAGAAACAGCGACAGAGTACGACGGGTTACCAGCAGCACCAAGAGCTTCGCTGCCGCCACCAGGAGCATAGATGGGAATCTTCTTGAGAGCGAGAGCGAGGGCGCACATAAACTTGGAGCGGCGAGTAGCACGAACGGCTTCGTTGTGCCAGTTAGACTTGTGCTTGATGGCGATCTTGAGCTGCATCTTGTCCAAGTCACCAACGCCATAGACACCAATGGCAATGTCTTGCTGGAAGTCGCGGGAGTTGTCGGCGTGACGGACGAAGTTCTCCATCTCGAGGCGGAGAAGTTCGAGGTCCTCGAAAGTAGTGTCGTAGGAAATGTTAAGGTCAATGACCTCCTTCATGGCCTTGGAACGGGAAACGTTCTCAATCCACAGGTTGTTGAGCTGAATGTTGGGCACCTGCACCACCTGCATCTTGTCGATGCGGGTGAAGACGGTGTAGAGAAGGGAGATCTTGTCGACGATGAGCTGCTGCTTCTCGGAGCCGACAATATCAACTCTGTCACCGACGTCGTAGGGGTGCTTGACGAAGAGGAAGATGCAGGAACCGAGGAATTCCTGGGTGGTGACGGCGAAGACGAAAGAAAGAGACAGAAGCGCGGTTCCGGCAGTAGCGACGGTCTGGAAATGTTAGTGGTGTCCGAAATGAGGGTATCGAGGGTAAACTTACAGTCAAGAAGCTGGACTGGAACCAAGCGAGGAAGATGAAGACGACGATCAGGAGGACAACAAACATGAGGACCTTATCGAACACGCGGAGTGCCTGACCAATGTCCTTCATTCCCTCGGTAATAGCCTTGCGTTCTTTGCCGATCTCGACGACCTTGCGCGTCATCTCTTCCAAGCTGATATCGCCATTCTGGTCGTTGTCAATCATCTCGAAAGACTCCTCGGCCTCTTCGGAGTAGGCAGGTCCAAGCACTTCCTGGAAATCTTCGGGGTACAGCGAGTCCTTTCCTTCGACGACGAAAGACATCCAGATACGGCGGGCGAGAGCCTCAGAGGGCTTAGTCTTCTCGAGAGCCTCAATGACGATGGAGTGAGCGGAGTTGGGGTTGAAGACCTGCTTGCCGGTGATTTCAGAAGCAATGTTTCCAAAGACACCCGTAATCTTGTCACCCATGCGACCAATGTCACCAACAAGTCGCAAAGGCGTAGCAGAACCGGCGCCCTTGACACCCTTCGCGGCCTTGGCCAAGATCAAGTCGAGACTATCGTTGATAATGTAATCCTCCTCCTCGAATTCGGGGCAGTACATAGGGAAAAGCGTGCGAGAGGCGTCGTAGAGGAGACCGAGCAGGCGGACCTCACGCTTGGACTCCTTGATGCGGAGTGCGAAGGATCGCTGGTGGTAAGAGATACCGATAAGCTGAACAATAGCCTTCTCGCCCAGGTAAACCGCTGATGAGACCATGGTAGCACCAAGGATACGGTACATGGTTACGACCCATGAAACGGCGTTACTGGATGTAGCGTTGAATAGCTTTTGGAAAGAAACCCATGAGGCGAGAGCCCAGAAGAAGAGCGCAAGAGCGATCTGCAAGTTGGAGAGGACGGTGGCATACTTGCGCACACCAGAGCTGACAACACCACAGAGGAACATGAAGGCATGGGGAAGGACCCAAGCGACAACCTTGCCAGCCCAAAGTGTAAGCCAGGCGATCTCAATCCAGAGAAAGACCTTGAACAGAGGGGGGCCGTCCTCTCCACCCTGTGGAAGGTCGCTGCCATGACCGGTAAGGGGGAGAACAATCAGAGGGACGGCAAGAAGAAGGCAGATTGGGATGATGTAGATCAGGTAGCGCGAGACGACTGAGGCGTTGGTGATCTTGTTGTACAGTCTGCCCATGGCGTTGACCTTGATGTCTGAAGAATCGCCGGTTCCATGGCGGCCCAGCTCGGCCTTCTTCTTGCGGCGACCGCCCTTGTTGTTGCGGTGGAAAAGGCCGTGCTTCTCGTTTGGTGAACCAGCGTCTTCGTTGCTGTTGGCGTTCATGGTGGGCTTGCGCGCACCTGTAGAGGCGGCGCTCTTGACATTGGTCAAGGGAATCTCAGTTTCAGGCATGTCGTTGGATTG